TTTTAGCAAATGGCTGCAATATAACAAAGAGTGAAAAATTTAAGGGGGTCTGAATACTTAGCTGCGCGATCTCTGATATGTGTGTGTGTGTGTGTGTGTCAGTAAACAGTGCATTAATAGAACGGCAATTAAAGGCTCTAATGCACACACCAGCATAGGTGTGTTTATTGTAGGAGCTAGACGACGTATGATGACGTGTGACGGTATAGTAGTGGTGTCCCAATTCTTAGGGGAATATTTTCACCCCTACCCCTTGACACTCTGTTTCAAGGGACAAGGGGAAGGGATAGGCGGAGGGGAAGGGGTATAAAATAGAATTGGGATTGGGCCTTACTCTCTACACTCCTCTCGTTCACTCTTGTCAGGAACCGCCCACTGAGGCTCGTACTTCTGACCGACATGTAATTTAAACTGGCCAACCATCGATAAGAAGTTATAGCAGCGCTTCAGGTGTTTGTAACTTTCCATTCGCTATAATACTGATCTTGCCATCTGTCAAATTAGGTTATTCGTTACTGGGCACTGTCACTGCGAAGCGACAAATATATAGGCCTATATTTAATCATAGTATACGCAGTCTTTGGGGGACACGCACACATTTAGAGTGATTATATGTTTTGCTAGCTTGGTCTGTGGCAGACTTTTCTTCATGTCAGGGCAACAATTCAATAAACAAGAATAAATAGGCTACGTGGCTTAAATTGTAGAGACAATGAATATTGTCTTTTGCACTATTTCAACGAAAATGGTTCCAAACAAAGCCATGTTGTGCATCTCTAGCAACATGCAGCGGTGTTTCCTTACTGAAGGAATTTGCATTTTTGAACGAATCGGGTGAGTCAGTGATCCACTGATCCATTCATAAAAACAGTTCATTACTTCATTCCTGAATGAATCAGCCGTTTTGAAAGAGTTGATTGAATAAATGACTCAAAGATTCATTAAGACAGTGGCTTGCTGCCACCTACTGGCAATTTTAGTTTCATATTTAAAAGTATCACTATTTTTTATCTCATTTCATATTTCTATATTCCACTTTTTATATTTAAAACATCAATCTCATAATATTATTTATGCATTATGTGAAGTGTATATGCATTTACAAGTGCTAAAAATAAGTGTATAGAGGTTTTCCAGGACGCGTGGGAACCCTGTTAATATTACTATGCACAGCAAAGAAAAACATTTTTGTAATCAGTGGAAACTGTTACAAAGTTCTCTATCGAAATAAGCGATATAGAACTTAGGCTCTATAGTCATTCGGCTTGCGTATAGTCATTAAAGATCTTAATTTGTTTGAGAATGGAGAAAGACTGTTAATAGGCTCCGGTGTCGCGGCCACATTGACACATGCATTGTTTCTCTAATAATTTTAGAGGCCTGGAGTCACAACCAAACCAGAACACATTGTTTAGATATTTTATTTCAAGGCATTTGTCATGTTTCCGTCCTGAAAACTTGTGTGCGCTGAAATTACGCACCTCCCTCCAAACTTCCGTTGCTAATTCCAAAACGTCATTTTAGAGCTAATAACGGAGGTTTGAACAATTGATATGCAGACTAATGCAGTTACTAATGCAATCTAATGCAGTTATTAGAGAGAGAGAGAGAGAGAGAGAGAGATTAAGCGTGTGAATACCTGTGCGTCTCTCAGCAGTGTTCAGCAGCAGAGTCTCTACAAATATCGAATCTTCAAGTTGAACTGCTTCAAGAACCTCGCTACTGAGAAATGTCATGTAGCTTTTCACCATGCGAAACTATTTTATCAATAAATTCGCGGGGCAGCGCTGACAAGTTTGTGTGAAAATGAAATACTGGGCCGAAGGCCGAATACCGATTTTCGTGTTTTTCTCCCCATGTATCTCCCCATGTATTTTGCCAATTTTTTTTCACCATTGCATAAATTAAATAGCCAGAATGTGCTTTTTACTGTTTTGTCTTGCTATTCAAAGAAAAAAATCTATTACAAAACAACAATTTAAAAATATTTACTAACCACTGAACATTTAACATTATAGCAAACATTACACCAACAAAGCATAATTTAACTTAAAATTATTAAGTTAGTAAAATAATATTTTTTGGCCATTTTTGAGACCCCCTTCTTGAATCAGTTATGTTTTTTTTTTTACTGCACAAATAAATGCAGCCTTGCTGAGCAGAAGATAATTCTTTTAAAACTACAGATCCTAATTTGAACACTATGTGTGAATGTTATAATAAATGTATTAATAGAGCTGTTGTAATTATTATTATCATTATTGTTGTCTTACTTTTTTATTTTATTTTGTGTTACTGAGCAACTGACGAGTAACAGTTTCAGCGCAGATTTCCCTCGCGGTTTGGACTTTGAACCCTGGCTGAGCTCGTGCAGCGCTGTTTGAATACATGCAATTCGTGCGTGCATTAGTAAACAACATTCTGCAGTTTATTTAATTAAGGCCATTTCACGATTTCATAACCAGCAACAACCACCCTCCTCTTCTCATCGAAGACATGCAGTGCAGTACTAAACAGTCTCTCGCTGTCGGTGCTTATGATGTTTGCGCCTTTTAAATGCTTCCACACTGCCGTCATATTTGCTGCATTAGTGAGCGGCTCTATTTGATTGTGTCACATCAGTGTTTAAAATTTATTTTGTCTTTTCGCTTATTCGGCTGAACACCGAAATAGCTTTTTTTGCTATTTTCAGCCGAATAATTTTGGTTGCTGACATTCGGGTGCATCCCTAGCGATATGCTCAATTGTCAAATCATCCTATTGTCAGGCTGTGAGATCGACGATACACAATATTATACTTATATTTACTTCGTTTCATTGCCGGAAAGTGAACCAGCACCAGCATATAAAGCAAATTATTATAAAACCAATGCAATTGCAATTTCAAGCGGTTTCAAGCACTTTATTCAAAATACAAGCTAGTGTTGAGCGATATAGTAATTTTTCAAATCGTCATATCGCCAGCCCGTGAGATCGCCGATACACGATATTATCATGCGTGTGTGCGTGCATGGGTGGGTGGGGGCAAGAGAGAGACTCTCTGTAGGCCTACTTATCATAGGCTATTTCATAACTATGTGGTGTTTTAAACCGCGCGGGTGCACGAGACAGAGCCTATCAAATATAAATCGAATATATTATATATAAAAGTATAAATAATACACTTTCAAACATAGGCTATTGATAAACTAACATGTTAAATATAAAAATATTTAAACCAGCTATTTCATATATATTCGGAAAACAACAGTCATACATCGCTATTAGGACTGCAAGTCCTGTGACAAGTTTGCCGCATCAGAGCACGGACGTTTCAGTCTAAAACGTCTGCAGTCAACGGTGAAAATCAAAAGTAGATTTATTTTAAAGACCAACAGTTTAACACTAAATATTGGACATAAACGAACATGTTAAATATAAAGTATTTAAAACAGGTAAGTTCATATATTTGGAGTAAAGTTAAATTGATCGGATACATCAGTCATACAGCGCGCTCAGGACCGCGCGCCCCATGACGAGCCCGACGCACCGCCACAAAAACAAGGATGAAATGCATTCTAACATAACTGTGGCATTAAACTCAGTGAGGGCTCGGTTAAAATATTGCACATATATAGGCCGTTCAGATTACTTGTTCAAATGCAATGAAATACCTTATATCAGCAGACGACGTACGTCTGTGTTTGTGGTTGGAGACTCCTTCACCGGCTACAGGCTTTAATCCTCATTTGCGCGAGTGTGAAATGCGGTGCTGAAGTGAAGTAGCGAGGCAATTTGATAATAATAGCCTAATAATCGCATATTAGTAATAATAATAATTTAATACATTTATAGGAGAATGAGCCTAATATCGCCTTGACTGTCAACAAAGACATTTGCTATCGTCGATATCTCTGACTAGGGCTGTGCAAAAAATCGAATGTGATTTTCATGCGAATCTCGTCAGTAAAGCCGCTTCTGGTGATTAGTAGTAAATCTCCAGCACGTGCTTTCAGATGGAGCGGCATTTACTACACAGAGCCGTAGATCACTGAGACAAGCTACACAAAATCGCGTTCAAAATCGCATACGATTCATTGCCGATTTTGAACGCGATTTTGAGCACGTGCTGGAGATTAACTACTAATCACCAGAAGCGGCTTTACTGACGAGATTCGCATGAAAATCACATTCGATTTTTTGCACATCCCTATCTCTGAGTATCGTCAATACACGATACTATCGTCTATCGGCACAACCCTAATACAAGCACTTTTCAAACCTTGAAAACACTGTTAAATTTCAAGCATTTTTAAGGATTTCAAGCATCCGTACGAACCCTGTGTCTATCAGAAAGTGTGCGAGTACCGAATCTTTTGCGTCTTTTTGCACTTGATTGTTTTAAATGGCTTGAATGCTTAAATTGGCCCAACTGCGCTGCATCAGGAAAGTTTACCATTTGCACATTTGACAATTTCTTCACTGTCTACAGCATCTTTTACAGTGTCAAACCCTGATCATGCTGCATCTCATTGCTTTCTCTCTGACCTGCTGCAGTATCTCCTGCTGATGGTCTTTCTGCCGCAGATCCCGCAGCTCCGGGCAGCGGTTCCTAAGCTCAGTGGTCAGCTCCTGCACACACGTCTGAGACTGGACAAGAGTGACTTCATTACGCTGCAGCCTGTAACACACACAGGGTTTAATAGGGTTATGTGTGATTAGTGTGTAATAGGAGTTTAATGGCAATTCATACATTTAATGCACAATATGGAATGGAAAAACTTGGAATAACATAATTAGGGCTACAGCTAACGATTATTTTTATTGTCGACTAATCTATCAATTTTTCTTCTTTTTTATTAGTCAACTAATCTATCGATTATTTTTCAATTAATCAATTTATTTTCTGATCAGTTGATGAATTCTTTAGTTAAACTATCAATAAAAAATAACTAACTTATGCTATTATTTTATTCAAACGTTTTCTCAATTAATACTTTACAAAAAATAAATAATAATAATAACAACAACAAAGAAAGAAAGAAAAAATTATAATAATAAAGAAAAATAACAAGAAAAGAGAAAAAGAAATAAATAATAACAATAAATAATTAATAAAAAATAAAAAAAGAAAGAAAGAAAAAGAAAGCAAGGAAGCACGAAAGCAAGAAAGAAAGAAAGAAAGAAATAAAAATAAAAATAAAAATAAAAATAAAGAATTACAGGGCAGTGATACAATACAATCAATAGAGATGCACATTATGGCTGCATTCAGTTACTGTTTGGGACTAACAACAGTTGCTTACAGGTGAGAGACTTGAAATGTTTTATTTATTCAGCAGATTATGAATGAACAGCTGAAGTCACAACCGCATTCAGGACACTAGACCGACAGAATCAACAATGGCGTCATAACACCAGGAAGTTTTATCACAGCCTGTTTTTAAATAAATGAGCCCAGTCGAGGCTTGTCCAATCCATCACACAGTTAAACAACTAACAGTGACTTTAAAGGGGTCATATGATGCGATTTCAATTTTTGCCGGATCGGCTTTCACCGTGGACGAAGCAGAGTCCAGCCCGGGGTCGTCACATGTGGTTGTCACAAGCCTCCGCTCACTCAAGCCGCCGGTTCTTTTGGAAGGACACGACTAGAAATCAGTGGATTTATTGGTTTTGTCTCGTCGCTCCGGGAGTACTGCTCACAGCTAACCAATCACATTACATTTCGTTTTTCGGAAGGCGGGCGTTCATCAAACCCGGAACTAATCGAGCCGTTTGTGCCAGACTGGGGAGAAAGGTATTGTAATAATGTAAATTATGTGAAAAATAATGCGTTTTTCGAACCACCAAGCATGAGAGCATGTTCTAGTACACCCCCAAAACAAATTCAAGACATTGTAAAAGAGCATAATAGGACCCCTTTAAAAGATAAATTAAATTGATTTATGCCTTCATTTGCACTGTACTGTAAATTAAAACTAACTGAAATTTATATTGTCACATAGGCCAATACATTTCAATAGGCTATTGAACTAAGTGTGCCTGTAAAATGCTATCAGTGTTATAGTTTCATGAAAATAGTTGCAGTTTTCTAAACTTCTACAATATAGCTATGAAGACAATTAAATTATTTACACTTATTATACAAATTTTTTAGGTTAATCCATTGATGTGCATTAGTTGATGAATTGAATAGTCACATCTACTACTGTAGATTATGTTTTAGCCATCAGAAAATAATTAATGAGGAATTATGAGAGGTTATGCTATTACACATACATTTCTAACATGTAAATTATTGAAGCCAAATACTTACATTTCCCCAAGCTGTTTAGCTGTAGTACAGTATTCATAGGCTTAATCATGAAGCATAC